TCAACTTATACTGGTAATTGTGTTCTTGCCAACTTAATGTTAATACACAAACGGTCATCAACTTGAACACCGGATGATAAGGCATCCGCAGTTTGAAGCGATTTTTTTTCTTAAAGGCAGAAATAGCTATTTTTAGCTGCGTTTTTCGCTACAAAGAACACGCTGAATAAAAACCAATTTTGATCAAATCATATTAGACAAATATGACAAAAAATTGACGAAACCATTTCTAGGTACTTTCACTGCCCGATCAACTGATTTGGTGGTAACACTCAGATATAAAATTATGTTTGCAAATTTCTGCGCTCATTCATTCATGTCTATTTTCAGTCCCATTGTTCCACATGTAATTGCTTTTTTTCTGTCCCTTTTTACTCCTGAAAAACCAAGGATATTGTTTTCCCGTCACTATAAGCCTGTGTCCATACTGGTGTATGAACAAGCATTGCTTTCCGCTGTGTACTTAGTTTAAATATTCTAGTAATCATTTCGTCATAACTACCCAATACAAAGGAACCTATCGCCCACAAATGTTGATACTACAACTTTATGTGATGAAACGTTAAATATAATTGTCGTTTATTGGCAAATATTTTAATGCGTTTCATCGAAATAATAAATATGTCAAAAACAGAACATCTTTGAACTAACAGAGCATATCAAACATATAGGGAACGAATAAAATATTTCCAGAACCTGTCGAGAAACACAATGGACAAATAGCTACGAGGAACAAACAAAGGAAGAGCGTCAAGACTCCCTAATTTGTAATTGTACTTAAAGCTGTGCTGAAATGTATGATAAAATAGAAAAAAATCGAGAAGGGAAGGGGACAGAAAGACGTGATTGCTAAATAAAGCACTGACACTTACGATAACAACATAAGCTTTTTGGCCATTATAGCCGAGCGTATCCGAGTTTCCGGGCTTGACCCTCGAGTATCTTCGGCTGTTCCAGCTCGCGACGGGGAACCCTTTAACAATAGTTGGGACATGGCCTGAAGTTTATGAACGGTTTTATTTTGATCGTCTCCACTGCCTCCTGTTTCTATCATTCTCATCAGACCAGCAGAACTTGACAAGGACCTGTTTTTAAGCAGACGACCGATGGACGGCAATTTTCCAGACATTTCTCCAGTCATAGAAGTAGTGGATTTTACCGCATCACTTTTCCGTCTTTCCGCGGCGGCTTCTTTGTGGAACAATCTTTGCTCGTTCTTTGCTGCGCCCTGATTGTTTTCAGTTTTTGACACATTGGCAGAATTTAATGTACCAGATTTCAAAACCCTAGAAAATCCCTTCAGTCCTTTTAGTAGTTTTATATCACCATCCTGCAATCCGCCGGTAGCGTTATTTGACGCATCTTCATTCATGGTTTCGATGATGTTATGTCAAGTATCCTCTAAATATTTCTTAAACCAGTTATCGTATTTCATAGCCCTTCTCCAAGTAACGGTGCATTCAGTTTAAAGTATCTGGCAAATCATCCGTCCTAATGCTGCTGTTCAAAAACAGCCCCTCTTGTTTCGAAAAAAGTCGATTTCAATCAAGTTTCGAATTTCCGCCCATAATGCTCTGGTCTATTTTATTCTGATAAATCCTTGACTCAATCGACCGTTGATACTGTTTGTTCTATCCTGCTAAGTTAACTCCAGGAGCAAATTCAATATACAGAGTTATTAGCGCTTTGTTTAGCGCACTTAGGATGCGTAAGCTCCAGTAGTCAGTACGACGATGAAAGTGAGAACAAGCACACACACACACGTGTCTCTCTAGGGACAGACGTCATTTCCGCTATCAGTTTCTTGAGTTATAATGTTTTTAGTAAAAAGTGGACAAGATATGATGATGGAAAACAAGACTGCCGCAATGCTTGTGTCTGTCAACCAAAACGTTTTGCCTGCAATTATTCTTTTTATGAGGTTTCAACATAGGTCTGTGCAATGACTGTTATTATAGCACACGTGCTTGATAAATAGAAATATAGGGGCCAACTATGATCTCCCCAGGGTGATGTCAAATGTTATTCAATTCAAAACTTAAGTTTAAGATTCTACCATTAAACTCACGTGGCTTTGACATGCCTTTATGTAAACTTCGTGACTAGAAGCTAAAAAAACAAACTGCTGTGTTACTAAATGGTTCTGAAGCAATGTATTATGATTTAGCATAGTCTAAATATTGCAATCAGATCGACACGAATAGGACTTCCGCACCTTAATAAAACCAATACTTCTATGAAGCTCTGAAATATGGACACTATTCACCAAGTTAGAAAGGAGTCTGAACAAACGTTACCCAAATCAAGAATTCAAAATATAAGCTGAAGGTACCACTCAACGCTTGATCATATATAAATAAGAAGATCTCCCTCCATTATATGTTAAGAGCTTCAGTTTGCTTGCTTTTTGATTTGTCATTGCTTTTGATTTGTCATTATAATAAACCCTGGGGAAAATGTAAGTTGTTTCCGATAAGAATCCAAAATGTCATTATTATAAGTTGTAGACAGTGTCAATATAAAACATCAAATATTCTTATATGGGGGAGTTCTTATCTTATAACCTTGATGTAGCTTATAACCATGAAGAACTATTGTGTTGTGATTGCACAGACAATTTTTCGATTGTGTTAGATGTGACACGAACGGAGTGGTCCGCTTTCCTCTGTCGTTTAGTGCAAATGGTCACGACTAATTCAATTTTATGCCTGAATACGCAAGTAATGAAACAATGGCGACGTTTCGTTTTCTTTCCGTGATCCGTGAATCTCAAAGTTGCCTTGATTGTGTAACACGTAGCTAACTTGCGTTTGACCGCATTTACAAAAAAGACAATGAAACACAAGAATTGAAGCGCAGACATGAAACACCTGTTTATTTCACTGGCGATCTAAAACCTACGGTGGTGACCTTGCACTTATCATTTTACTTAATTTTTGCAATATTCCACTATGCAATAATATCTTTATCAGCTATCCAATTTCAATATTTCTGCGTGGCACTTAATACGGTAAGAAATCAATTTAGCGCGTTTTCTGAAAACAGTAAAACGTGTTAACATTAATTTGAGATCTTTGTCATATTGAAAATATTGCACATAGCGCCAGCTTCCCCTAACACATGTAGGTAATATTCACATTGTGGTACTGTACAATCCCACTGAAGTCTTTCCCATTTATCTGACTGTGACCTCAGTGTGCCTTAGAATCAATCTCCTTTACTTTCGTATCTTATTCAACTTAAAACTTTCTTGAGCATTAAGGTCCGTTTCTAAAGGCCATATCATGTTCGAAATGAAAAAGACGAGAATGCACAGTTATTCCACCAATGCCTGATTAAACCTCTACTGACTATTTATCTATCCACCTGGAAGAGCTGCGGAAGCTGACTTTATATGTATTCGTCTCATCTGAGCATCAATGTACTAATTACATCCTTCTCATCGATTCAAGATATCAACCGTAAGTTTTAAGTTGGTTATAGTCTAGCTTTACTTTAAATTAAAAAACGTGCTTTGTAGATCTCAACTTGGAAATAATATTAATAGCAACACGCGTGGTACGTGTTAGCAACACGCGTGGTACGTGTTAGATGTATCAAATCTTTAAAATCAATAACATCTTAGAAATAACCTCCCGATTCCCAATAGAGGGTTTCATGAAGTTGTCATGAATGGCAACCAGATTTCTTTGTTTTAACTGAAACAGGCAAAGATCTTCTCACTGTGGCGTTAGTATCGGAGGAATTTTAAGAAATTTAAGAATAGTTGCACCAACTTACGACTTGACAAGCCTGTTGAGCTTGTCCATAGCCGCCGTGGGGCTCTCTGTTCCAGCAGGTTTGTCAGCTGTTGCCGATCCATCCTGGCCACCCTTGAGGGCCTTTGTTAACTTTAACAGTCCCCCTTTCATTGTCACTTCTTTAAGGATTCATAAAAAAGTTCAAAATCTAATGTATATCTATCACATTTCAACTTGAATTACACCATCCAGTGTCAAATCCCTGACAACGTAACTCTATGGTAGCAGGTCTTATGCGGTTGATGGCGTGTTTCCATTTGCGTTGCCTTAATCATGTCTTTGATCAGAGACAACACGGATTGTGTAATAAGATTAAGAATGTATCTTAACTCGTCTATTGTAGCTCATATACTTAACTATATGAAAATCATTTAAAATGCAAATAGTTTAGGCCTACTTTTGCACACAGTCATATACCGGAATAAAGTTAAAATTTGAAGGGAGGCGAATGAGACCAATTTGGCTGTGTATTTGATCATTAACATCCAGTAGTAAACATCAGGACCACTGTGATGACATTTTTCGCTCAACGAGAGAACATGCACGTGGGGCAAAATTCCATCAAACTCGCAAATTTATTAACCCAATCCAACCTGAAGATTACTTCACTCGCCTCCTGGCTAAACTGAACCATGACCCAGGGTCGCACACATGAATGCAGGGATAACAGTGTCCGAGCCCAACAGTGACAAAGAAGTTGAACTAACCGCCCCGACAACAATAACCTGTGTAGCTTACTACACCAGAGTAATTGATAATAGAAATTATGCAAAACATCAGTTCATTTTGAATGTAACAAAGATGCGGACCGTAAACAGCACACAATAACAGGTGCTCGTGCGTATAGTTTTGCGCTCACGTGACTGGTAACAAAAGAAACAATATACGATAGTGTTATAATACCGATTCGGAACAATAGCTATTTAGCTATGCTGATCAAAGTATCAGCATTTTCACATCTTAGAACCGATTTTTTACAACAAATGATTTATGTCTATTGATTTTTTTGTCTGTCATTTTGCTTTCCCCTATTGTAGAATCATTGAGATTCCCAAATGAAATCGAAAAAAGGATGACAATTTAACTTAACGGCAGAGAAGAAATTAAGCCCACACGTACAGGAGCGTTAAAAAGTTGCCGAGAAATATTAAAAAATAGGAGCTTAATTTCAAAATGCAACACAGAAGCTCGAAGACCAAGATGCAAAGTTTGGATAAGGGCCAAACACTTATCCTTGCATTAAATTAAAAAGCAAACAATTTGTTAGGATGATTTTTTTTTTCACGGCACAAGGGACAAAGTCAAAAATCTAATAGAAAATATTTAACAAAGGTAAAAAAAATCGATAAAAAGCCTATATCTACTATCAATTTATGTATCTATTCTTTTTTCTATATTTTTGTATGGTAAACTCACGTGCTGCTTCCTTTTCTCTGAGGAGGCGCGCCCTCCGTGTGGGGACTTCCTTTAATATCACTTGCAGAATTTCGTTTTTTCACAGCTCCCGAAGGTGGCGACTTTGTCCCTTGGGCCTCTGTCTTGGTTGTATTGTTATTACTACTCCCCGGGTCACGACTTGCTGTCGCCGTCCCCGAGCTACCACCACCACCACCACCGCCACTAGAACTGGAAATTAAAGAGCTGTCCGACTTCTCTCCCTTTTCACCCACTCCCGGAGCGAAGGAGACAGAAACCCTCCTGTTCCCCGACGGTGACTCGGTCGGGTTACCAACTTTGCTCATTCTTAGTTTATTCAGCGTCTGTATCCCTGTCACCAAGCTTTTAAAACTGCGGCCTTTTAATTTAGCACCAGGCGTAGTTGTTGCTGACTCCGACGGAGGAGCGGGGTCAGGCTNGTATTGACCACTGAAAGGTTTTTTGACAAATTTGTCTTTGTGACAAAATGTTTTCTGTTAAAGAGTTAAACATGTGCAACATTTTGTATGTAGGGACCAGATGAAATCGAGGAATCTGATGTTGAGGAAGATCAGTATGATGATACAGAGACAGAGACCCGTAGTAAGGGTAAGTGATGTTTCTTACAGAGGCAGGTTGCATGGGGTCAAATAGTTGGTGGATTGCCTTAAACAAAAATAGTAGAAATAGCATGACTTTGGCAAAGAAAGTTTTGATAGGTAATTGAGAAAGGGCTTAATTCCTAAATCATTGCCAATAATGAAAAATTGATAACAACAGTACTTTATCTCCTTTAATAGCAAGCTACAGCAACTACACCGACCAGGAGTATGATAGAATTGACAGCATTATGGGAGAACCTTCAGACCGTGCTCTTATGAGACAACTGCCTCCTGAGGAACAGCTGAAAATCCAGCAACATGTGGAAGACTTCCGCCTGGAGAAGGCAAAGCTGGATAGAGAAATTGCCAAGTGGGATGATAGTGGAAATGACATCATCATACTGGCTAAACAGATGTGTATGATCATGATGGAGATGACTGATTTCACTCGGTAAGAACATGATATATAGGAAAAATTTTCATCATTCATGTTTCAGTTACAGAAAGTTTTTATAAGCTTGATGGTACTGTTTTATTTCAGTGCAGCTTAAACTGTTGTTTTTGCAGCATTGATATTTATCAAATTAAAGCAGCAGGAATGATCATGATATCATTTTTCACATTGTATTTTATGTAATAATAAAATGTATTTCCAGTGGTCGTGGTCCACTGAAGTCCACTATGGATGTCATCAATGCTGCCAAGAAGATCTCAGAAGCTGGAACTAATCTGGACAAACTGGCTAGAACAATTGCTGACCAGGTATTATACTTGCTGATTCTGGCATGTGTTGCTGTCATGATATGATTTCGAACCAGCATTTTGGTTATAATATAGATGTAGTATATATGAACAGAAACTGGTATATTTATAAGTAATAAGTAACACACATTTTATTCAGAAAAGAACAAACAGAATAAGAATTACATGTTGACTTAATTGTTTGTTTTTGTATTAATGTTTATCATGCTCTGGTCTCTTGCAGAATTTAGCCCAAAAAAGAAGCACCAAGATGAATCTGGTCCCTTTCCCATATGAACTTTTGCTTTGCATAAGATATTTTCTTATCAACCTACTCGGTGACAAATATTGTACTCTGTTTCTAATTAATGTTTGTTTTTTCAGATAGTAAACTTATGTTGTATTTTCATTGAGACACTCCCAATGTATATTAACATTATTCATCATTGTTGTATCCCAATCATCCCTTGGTAATCACCTATTTAGTCTAGAGTCATACAGGACTAGTGTGCATATTTTCCACTTACAGTGTCCAGATTCCAGGTCCAAGGAAGATTTAAAAGCTTATTTGAAGAGCATAGCTCTTTTTACACATCAGTTGAACATCACTGGCAAAGTGAAGTCTGATGTGATCACTTTGGACAGTGGGGAAGTACTGTTATCAGGGGTAGGTAACGACTGAGAGCCGTCGTGGTTGCTGGGTTGTCTGTCTGGTGGTCAGACAGCTGTGTAGCATGGAGGAGACAGTACATGAATACAAGAACTAACCTGTCCCTGGCTGGTGCCACTGCATGGATATGGAGGTGCCAGCACTAATCAACCACTAGTATCCATAGCCTGGTTTTAACCTTTGCATCCCCAGGTTATTAAGAGAGCTACAGGTGCATGGTGGTTGACAATGATCTGGTAGGGTCATGGTATTTGACCTTTAGCCCCTCCCCCACACTCCCGTCCCAACAGTAGACAGTCATCATAGAGTGGCGGCTGTGCCTTGTCCCCTGCCCCCCACATATATATCACTAACATGCTAGTTCCTCATCCACTTTTCAGTGCCCAGATTCAATCTCCAAGCGTGATTTGCTGTCATATCTGAAGCAGATCACGCTGTTCACGCATCAATTGAACATCACAAGCAAAGTGAAAGCTGATGTCACCACCCAGGGTGGCGAGATGTTATTGACGGGGGTATGTAGTAAACAACACCCACCCATCTGTGCAATGCAGTGGCCATTGATGTTGCTGTTGTGGTTGGTTGCGTTGCTGGTTTTCCTGTAACAATCCATAGTTGTTGTTGTGGCTTGTGTTGCATGCTTCATGAGGTGTGTGTATCTTGCATTTTAGTGCCCTGTTTCTGATTCCAAGAAAGACTTAATTGCATATCTCCAACGTATTGCCTTGTACTGTCATCAGTTGAACATCACCAGCAAGGTCAAGGCTGATGTCACTAACATCAGTGGAGAGCTCATAGTGTCCGGGGTATGTAGTATTAATAAAGATTGCTTTCTAGGGACTTGGGCATACTACTGCAGGTATAAGAGTCCCACCTTCCTCTTCCTCCAACCAGCTCCCTGCTATCCCATCCCATCCCATCTTATTTACCGTGTACATCTGCTGATAGTAAGTCAGGATACATGGGCATGAATACTTCATGGTAAAGAATCAAAAATATCAATAAGCAGTCTTTTTGCTTTCATTTAATTGGTTGACAGTTTTGATTGATAAAATAATAGTGCTGAATTAATAGTGCTAAAAATACATTCTTATTGTTGCTTTCATGCTACTGTATCATTGACATATTAATTTATAGAAATGTAGAAACATATTCTGTAGAGTGCACCACAATATTCTTATGTGCATTTGAGTTTAAGCACCTCCCACTATAGTATGTCCAAGTCCCAGTGTTATAACTGGGGTTATTGCTCAACTAGACACATGATGTTGTTTGCCTAGTTGTTGTTATACACAGAATATGCTAAGGTGGATTTTTAACCTTGTAATACAAACACTAATAAGGGGAGTGGATTTATGGGTATAACAGAATTTTTGATTACTGACCAAATCGTGATTTTGTTATAACTTCCCGATATTTGGTGCTGTAAAGTAAAAGAAATGTTTACAGGTTAGATGGCCACCAACACAGATGAATGGTTAAGCACACTGTCCTTGTAGTATTTTAATTTTGATTATAGGAACTTGTTTTTTTTTTCAAAAGTGTTGTAGTATTTAGTTTATATATATATAGTTTAGGCAAATATGTATCTTTATTGGTAGATTATATCTTAAGTCTGCATAGATGTATCTCTTTTTGTCATTAGATGCCTTTTTTTGCAAGCTTTGCCATCATTTGTTTTCAACATCTATGATCTTCATTATAATTTTTTTGTTTCAGTAAAGTTATATTGATTTGTATTGACGGGAATTTTGGCACTTTATATAAAATTGAAGTTGTACATAGTGATTTTTTTTATTTAACACTCAGTGTTTTTCATGCTGTTGTGTACACTATTGATAAAATCTATCAATGCGTGCACTAAATTTTGCAACTGAAAAAAAAAATGCTTGCAGTGGTCAACATGTGCAGTGTATTGTCAACAGGAAAAATGAAATGACTAGGAAAATAAGAATTATTTAGATGCATTAGATATGTGCCCATATAAAATTTGAATGAAGAAACATTCTCTAGCAAGTACCCCCTTACTGTCAAAAGGCAATTGACCCTCCCCCCCCCCCAAACAAAAAAAAAAAAAAAAAAAAAAAAAAAAAAAAAAAAAAAAAAAAAAATTGATGAAATTAAAAAATAATAGAAATGCCCTTTTCACAAGGAAGGCAATGATTGGAAAATGTCCACTGTCAATATCTTGGGTCTATTAAAGTTAAGTCCCACTGACTGTATTTGTACAAATAATTTATTTGCTAAAATTTACCAGCAATTAGTGGGATTAGAAATTACTTTTTTATGTCTCATCTACTTGTAATTTATGAAGTCCGCCACAAAATGTGTACAATATTTTTACCTTTTACCTGTTTCTCTAGCTTGACAGTGCCACCTCTCTGATCCAAGCAGCCAAGAATCTTATGAATGCTGTGGTCTTGACCGTCAAAGCATCTTATGTGGCTTCCACCAAGGTAATTGAGTAACTGTACACGTAGTGCACAGTTATGCCTAATATATATTTTTTTACAGCAACATCATGAAAAAACATTTTAATTAGTTACGAGCGTAAACCAAAAGCACTGGTACATTTCCCAAGTTTTTAATGCATTTTGAATGATTTTCAAAGTATTTCATATTTATATTTACTTCTGTATTTGATTGATTTCAGTATCAACGATCTCAGAAGGGTGTCAATGTAAGTATATCAGTTGTATATAATAAAAGGAACTGCTTAATTTAATCACTATTAAAAAAATTTGTAAGAAAATCACTTGTGACGGGAAAGTAACTGCAATAGGTATGTCGAACCTTACAAAAAAGTTCCAAGGCAGTTTTGATAATAAGTATCACAAAGAAAAATGAAACGCCTCCAATGTTAGTCTGATGTCAGTGGGCATTGTTACACATAATATGCTTGTTGAAGTTCATTATTTTTCTGGCATTTTGATTTCAGTCCCCTGTTGTCTTATGGAAGATGAAGCCTCCAGAGAAGAAAGCACTTGTCCGTCGAGAGGATCCTGAGGAAATTACATCCAAGATCAGAAAGAGTGCTAAACTGAAGACTATCCATGTTGTGAAGGAATTGAGCGAATTTACAGAAATAGACAGTTTTTAAAGATCAGCTTTTAAAGACAATAAAGACATTATTTTCAATTTCTAACATTTCACACACATAATATTGAAATGTCCTCTTCAAAGTAATATTGCTTTTCTAAGTATAAAGAAGTAGACATTATATATAATGAGTAGATATTGAATGAGTTTTAGGGGAAACGGACATATTGTTCATGAAGTAAACTTGGCATTTATCATCAGTCTCGGGAAGACATTAAAAAATTGAATCATTTAATTAAATGTATATATCATTAAAAGATTGCTGCTCTTAATGATTTAATAGTAAGGCAGTTGAGAACAGTCATGTTAGAATCTACCCAAGATGAGAGCTTGAATTCTATTTAATATGTAGTATCATAGCTTCATTCTATAATTGAATCTCAGCACATTTACCCCTCTTGTACATATGAATAGCCTGCTTGTTCAAGCATATTATTTATCTTGGGGGTAATAACTGAATATGGAAAGATTTTTTGTATGAAATGAATTTTACTGGGTTATGTATCACACATATACACAGAGAGAGAAAATTGTTCTTTAACATCTGTGGATTCTTTTTGGTACTATTGAAGAGGGTAATCAGTATCATTGCATCTTATCTTTAGAAATATGTGGCTTATGATGAATATTTTCTAGAATGAAAAATAAGTAGTTTGACAATATTGAGGAGAGACATGGAAAGGACTGGAAACAAAAGAAATTATCACATATACAATCTTGATTTGCATTACATATTGATATGCCAACATTCCATAAATTAGCATTATCCACACCTTTTAAGTTTTGTAGAATCTTACAGTAGAGCAAGTGAAGTCAATAAAGCTGTCTGCTTATGACATATTGCATCATCTTTGACTTTTACTGAGGGTCTAAACAGTTCAAAACATAACTACATGGGGTACTGTATCTAAAAGTACTCTTTGCTTGACATAATTGCACTAACATCAACATGATGGGTTATGCAGGTCAATTACCCATACAATTTCCATTATTGAAGGATTGCAGGTTCAAGAGAGGTTCTTATAATTCCTACCCTGAGTGTCAGGGCCACTGTGAAGCTAGCTTGTTAACTATTCAAACCTTTTCATGGAATAACTTTACTGTTTTGCTGATATGGTTATATATGAAATCAAGATCGAGCTGGCAAAACTGAAATCTAGAACCTAGGGTAATAATTCATATAGTTTCATTTTTTGGGGGGAGACCAAGGTCCAAGATAATTGAAATCATTCTATTTTCGACCTTTTCTGAGGGATTGTTGAATTTACAGGCCTCCTGGTAACATATAAATTGGTCCTTTAGCAACAATGCAGTGAGATTGAGAAACTGTTAAAGAAAGCATCACAGGCTGGTATCTTTTCAACATGATGTTAGGAATTTTGTCAGAAAATGATTTTTAATGACATCTTAGTGGAATGGTTGTTCATGGGTTATATATAGTATGGAATCAAAGATATGTCCAATTCTCTTTAAACTTTTTGTGTTAATTTGCATAAACAGGTTATTAATTAATTAATTAATTAATGTATTTATTAATTTATTATGTTAATTGATCAATTAACTTAGAAAAACGCCTTGACATGAATATTGGACAAAACTAAAAGCAGAACATTATTGACCTATATTTTCTTGTGCACAAATTAATCATATACACATATGCAGTCACAAGTCAAAATATATCATAATTTTGAAAAAGGGGTCTGTTTAATGCTTGTTTTCTTGTTTACTTTTCAAATAATTAATCCCAGACTAAAAAGGTTTCCTGTTAAAATTCAGAAATGCAGATCTCTCGTCTCGTCTTAAATACACATTGGTGAACAAAAGAAATCGACAGAGGTAGGAGAAAAGTTTTCCTAGCTAAGTACGGTATTCTAGCATGCTAAATGAGGTAACCCAATTCACTCCATTTAAAATATTTCGCACACATAAGACAGAAGTAGTTTTGAGGGGATTAGCTATTACTCAGATTTATTTGTTGCCCCCGTAGAGGCGTTCAAAAATTGCACTACCGACGGTATTTCACGTCGTCAGTGCGGGGTATTGGGTATAGTTTTCAACTAGCAATAACCACGCCTCGGATAAACCTCATTGGCTATGGTACCGCCACTGCGCAAAGCTGAAGCTCTTATGTAGGTCAACCTCTTAAGTGTAAAGAGAGTTACTTTAAGTACACAGGTAGACGCTTATCCATACCAAGATACTTTATAAGCTATATAAATACAAAATATCAGTATTATACAATTTCAATCAACACATTTCATATAACTTTTATGTTTTATAATATTGATAATTTTAAAATTACAAAATTTACCTTTCTACATGATATAAAGGCTATTTAAAAAATTATCTTTTATCAAGTGTGTTGGTTGCGAGAAGATCACATCTACCACATCGCTAGAATTTTACAGGTAAATGTAATTTCAATCTCAATGTAAACAAGATAAGATGCCCGTAAAAGCTTAGAGTCAAAATGGAACATTAAAAAAATCTCAACTTTTTGTTTCTCTTGACACCAAAATGAAAAAGAATCAAGTTATCATGCAGGTAAACCTGCGTATGACACAGTTTTCAGTTGGTCGCAAAATCGGATTTATTGGTAAAACATTGACTCAGTTATTAATTAACACACACAATGTTAACATAAACGGCAAATGGATTGTTGTTGTACAGATGTTTAGTAAAATGATCTAAACAGTAACAATAAATTAATAATATTTGGCTTTTAATGTTACATGTTAACATCGTTGGCTATGTTACTTACGGGTACGTACTGCATGTTTACGTAGCAAAAAAAAAAGTAAATATTTGACCATCAAAGTACTTAATTTACAGTAACTGTGATCTTAACCCTTATGAGAAAGATCATATCAAGGAATTTTACATTTTACGTAAAATGGGTTACAGGCTGTAGTGATTAATAGTACATTTGTACATGTGCAAGGGGTTTTCGCGCAACGTTTCCTCCAATCATTGCTCATTATTCCTGCACTTGGATTCTCTTTCATTTCTTGTTTAACAAATTGGTTTCAAGTTAGTGATGTTTTATTTTCCTTTCTAAAGTGGGATTTTCATCCCAATTCTGGTCTAGTTATCCATTTTCAAAAATGTTATATATATATATAAAGCATGCCTTTTCAATAAGTGCACAGAGAGAAGTGGAAGACACAAGACAACAATCTCATGAGTTGCATCTAAATAGATTGTAATAGGAACAAACTGGACAGGGCGTTTAGAAATGTATGTTAAAACAATCTCGACAAATTTAACTTTGGCTTCAGCCTTATGAATGCAAATGAGGATTTAGGTATGAAAAAATAAAAAAAATTATGGTAACTTTTATTGAAGGTTGGAAAGGGGCATCGCATTTATTAAATAGGTGACCATCCATCTTCCAGGGTTCGTCTTTATTGTATTGTTTTAGCAAAAGAATTACTTTTGAAAATAATTGGTGGCCAATATCAATATTACATGTACATGTGTTTTGATTAAATATAATATTATACCAATGAATGTACCAATAAATTGTACAATCAGCACTGCAGACTTGGGTGTCTATTAGATTGCTGAAGGGTCAATCAACATTTATTTAAAATAAGTTGGTTTACAAAATTCAGTGCAATTTCCTATATACAATCTGCTGTGCATAACAAATGGAAGAACCCTGCTCATAAATTAGCATTACTAACATAACAGAATAAGTATTTCAAGGCTTATCAGTATTGTTACATTTAACAATGCAACTACTTCAAATGGAAGCAGCAAGGGCACCACAATAGTTGTAACTATCCATTTTAATCTTAAAAGTAAAAAAACATCAACTCTATATTGAAAATGTTAGGTAAGGGGAAGCAGTCTCTACTTAATAATCACATTTGCAATAAAGAAAATACATCAAGCCTGAGCTTTAAAAATTCTCTCTAGAATTCTTGTGCTGTTAGACCAGAGATCACATGGTCACAAACAGGAACAACATGGCATGTTTGCCTCTCCTGAGCATGCCTTTATGATGACCATAAATTCTGCAGTTACACGAAAACAATTTATTCATAGACAGTAGAAGCAGCAGTCAAGTAATATTGTCTGCTATTATGTACAAATAGCTCTCCCGTTTATCTTCGTGGTGTCCTGGAGACATTTAATCAACTACCAGTGCCTTAGTGACAAAGGCATGCCCAGACAATATTAGGAAGATGCTGAATATAATGCAGTTCTTAGTCTGTTGGGGTTTGTTGTTGTACTTCCAGACACCTCTTACAGGTAGATTTTCCTGAGGTCTGCAGCAGAGGTGATCATGTTACACTGTGGGCACAACTTCTTGGCTCCCTGAAAATGTAAACAGAGAGTATTTTTTGGAAGATAGTCAAAAGAAGTTTATCTTATACCCAAACATGATGTTTATTTTACCCTTTTTGACAACATACTGTTAACAATCTTATCATTTTAAGTAATCCGTTTCAGTTTTGTCCACAATATTTAATACTTTACAAATGGATTCAGACTTCAAAGATTAACCTGAATAGGACAATTTTACACATTTTAATTTGCAACATTTTGGGGTGTGGCTAAAGAAAGTTCTAACATGACTTGTATACTTACCAAAGTTCTCAACCAGCACTCTTCACAGTGGACATGCCAACACTGAATGGAGGTTAAAGGGGATGCATAAGGCTCCTAAAACAATGAAAAATTTGTATTTATACACTTTTTATAGGTTTTGAGACTGAAACAACTTCACTGATAAAAATATATAAAAAGAGCTGAGGTCTTTGGACATACTAAATACATGTTGATCTTATTACATCACCTTTGCTAGTGTGGAAAAATTATTTGAATATCTAGTTTGCATTTGTGCATGCATGTAGAACATATAGAAGCACTTACCATGCATATTAAGCATTTAAATTTGTCCCCTTTCTTGGTATGATCTTCTTGATCCTTCACTTTGGCTTTAAGAGCCTGAATGACCTCCTTAGCCTTGGGATCTTGAACCTGGACAGTTTCAGAACTGGACACAGTCTCGTCCGAGTTGTCTGGACTTTCTGATGTACCAGGTTCTGCTGAAAAGCAAAAATGATGCTTACAGACAATGTACTTTTTTTTGACACCTTCAACTTTGGCCTAACACTTCATATGAAAGCAATGCACTAGTTAGCTTGAGGAAAAGTTAGCTTGAGAAAAAATTACACCTAAAAAAATAATGCAAAACATGTTATATAAACCAGCAAGATCAGAGTTTCTTACCAGAATCAGAGGACCATTTACTTCTGTCTGCAGAAATAGCCTTGGGTTGTGTTCCTTCCCCTCTAGAAATGAAAATCATCAAAGGTAATTGGTTTGAAGTCCCTCTATTCCATCACAAAAATGTGTTAAATTATTCAAAAGCCTTTTGTCATCACAAATCTTATTGAATCTCCAAAGTATAATATTTTTTATTTTGGATCCACAAAAAAGTGCTTTTCTAAAATACTCTCTGTTGTGGCTCACCTTAAGACTGCTCCCCTGAGGGCCTCTCTTTCCTGATCTTCCCCTGAGTCATCAGCACTGCATGGAATGATATCAGCTTCTGTGTACTGGACACCGCCATATTGTTCAGAATCATCTCCATCTACATCCAAATTGATATCTTCATCAGACTCGGATCTCTTGGATGTTTGGAAGCCGGAACCTGAATAAAATGGATAAAGATTGCATGTTGTCAAATTTCAGTGGTCTTAAGTTTTTGCTAAAATTGGTATAAAATTTAACATTTTTGATGTGATGCTTATGTAACCATCATTCATGTTCAGAATAAAATAGTTCAATCTTACCAGCCATCCCTCCCTGTAACAGAGAGCTGGCTCTAATTCTTTTCTGTCCAGCCCATTCATATTCCTCAAACTGATCCCCTTCAATATCAACCACCTCCTCTTCTCCGCTGTCTCGCTGAAAAGATAATTAAATATAAAAAATTCAAAAATATCCTTTTGAATTTTGGCTGGAACTTATCTTAAAATATCTTTCATTATAGATTATTGAATATCAATAGTGAAGCTACACAAAAGTAAATATTCTAAAATGGAAATGCTTCTATTCTTTTTGCACTTTCATTTTGCCTTATATATAGATTCTAACCAAAACGGCAGGAAATCTGACCCTACTTTTTTGAGACATTTTTCCACATGTTCATTCAGCTCCTCTGGTGTCCCGATCACCTTTTCATTGCAAACAGGGCAAGATGTTTCTTCCTGGTTTCTCTTCCTTTTGTTTGTTCTAGCTTTAGCTGAAAAAAGGAAGAATTATAAAGAAATTAGCTAGGGAATTTTGTACATTCCCATTAAATAACATGAAATTCCCCTTCCTTTTTTATTTCCATTACATATGTACACCAAAGCCAGAAAAGTAATACTTGATTGGAAAAAAAAAAAAAAAAAAAAAGAACACCTGCACATGTTTTTATTACTTGAAAGATATAAAAGTATCATAAATGTAAGGTATTCACCTGCTAGCCTATTCTGTCGGTTTGCTTTGATTCGCAAATACGTCTGAAAGAAACCAGAGTGGAAAAATTAACACTTATGTATACCTTTAACATATCTGCATTTGGAAAAAGATGCAGGTGGGTAAAGTGATATACACTATTTTCAATTTGAAATAACAAGTAAAATTTCAATATCCCTGGGGCACATACCCCAGCAGCTTAGCTTTCACACAAAAATGTATAGCCTGTTACATCCAATGTTTTCAGTTCTGTTAAAATGTCTAACTTTCCAGATTTGAGTGACAGATAATCTGGAACTTGTATTATATTAAGGCAGTTGCCCCTGAGCACAGCTGCTTGCTGAAAAACAAACTCAGCCACCCTAAAATTATAGTCATTTGATTTTATCAAGTAGGAAAATTATTGTTTATTTCACCTTTCAGTTGTGTTTACTATTTACTTAGGGGACTTTATATTGCCAAATGAACTCCCCTCTGGCAGTAGCCCTTTAACAATACCTGGAGGTACTAAGAAACACTGTATCAACTAAATGACCCCGAAATCTAATCCGATCAAAAATTAATGTGCAATTCTATTACTCCACTTGGTCACATGAGCCTGAATGGTCATTGCAGGAGGAATGCTGTCAAACTGTTTGGATAATCTTTAACATACACACTGGCAGGAATCAAGCAGCCAATGATTGACACTGGGTCCCCAATGTCTGTGTTGATTTAACTGCCAAGTTGGTCAACAGTGACCATCAGCTCAGCTAATTGTTTTAAATCCCCCAGGCTGGAAATGTGAACAGGACACAAATACATCGTTTTACTGTTGGGCATAGTGCGTGGAATTATAGAATTTTTGGGTTTTCACACATTATTACAAGATCAACTAATTGACAAAGACCCTTTGGATAAAACTGGCCTAGCTAGACAAAAGGTCAAATAGGGGTGAATGTTACTGTTATAATTGAACATTATTTATGTTACAAAAGACTGACCACAGACTAAAGGTGATAAATGGAAGTGCATGAATTATATATGTGATTCCAGTCCACTGTTATTTTGTATATTGCATAAGTTGTATTGGTTAGAATTACTATTGATTCTTCCAGATGGTTCATTAAATGCACTCAATTTAGTGGGACACAGGTGTGAGTGGGCTAAATGTACAGTTATACACGTAGTTCTAAAGAGTAATCTTTTTACGGTGCAAAAGTCACAAATATCAACATTTTTTCTTAAAAAAA